CAGGCAGGAGAAAAAGAAGAAATACAAGGAGGAGGAGGAGCAGAACAACAACAGCAGCAATAGCAATAACAACAAGAACAAGAACAACAGGCCTGATGAAAAGCAAAACCCTCTGGTTGGTTTTATCCCACGATTTAAAATATAATAATAAAAACTGAGGCTGCCGGAGTGTTCTTTTCTGCCGAGCTGGCCAGGCAGGGAAAGGTTAAAATGGGTTTTTGTTTATTTAAGCTGAATGAATGAAACTTTGCCCTCTTTTCAAGATATACCAAGGGATCTTGCAGAGCCCCCTTGAGAGTAATAACTGAAAGAGAGAAGTTGGTAGCTTGAGCTTTCCCAGGCTTGAGCCTCCTTCCTCAGGTGCGTGTTTGTGGAGTGGAGACCTATCTCTTGTCTGTTCCTGGGCAAGTTTCGTGAAGGAGTGAATGGATTTCCCCGCCATCGGGGTAAATGTGGTGCTTTCCAGGGTGTCAGAATTATTTTATTTTATTTTATTTTCTATCCCGCCTTTCTCTGCGAAGGGACCCAAGGCGGCGCACCCATAAAATTCTAAAAAAACAATATCACAATAAAACAATTAAAAACATCAGCTATAAACTAAAAAAGAAGAAGCTAAAGCCAATATAAACAAATATTAAAAAACACAATATTCAAAGGGATAGATAGCCGTGTTATTGGCGACAGAAGCCAAAGGCATGATGGAACAAAGAGAAGGCAGAAAGGGAAATGGAGGGAGCCCAGTTCGCAGCCTCAAGGTGTCAAATCGGCCAAGAGAGAGGAAAAAGGAGAAAAGGCCCTGTTTTTCCACGAACACGTTTTTGCTATGGAGACAGATCTTGTAGTACCTATGAGACTAAAGGGAAAGAAAGAGCTTTCCTCAAATGTATAGTCTTTGGCGCCTGCTCGGTTTTGTTACAAGTCCCAGAGACAAGCCCTAAACTGGACTAGGACCAGAAATTGGGGGAAGGCGTTGGGGGGGGGGGGGCAGAGAAACATATTTTAAAATTTCCAGAATAACCCCAGAGGCCATGCAGTTAGAAACTAGACAGTTAGACAAGGCAGAGACAAAGAGTTTTCCAGGCCAATATTGTGTGCACTGAGTGATGCACAACCTCAGGCCCACCACAAATGCGGTTGTCTCTTTGCAAAGAGTTAAGAGATTTGTTTTTCTTGTTGCTGCGTGCTTTCAAGTCTTTTCCGATTTATGGTAACAACCTTAAAGTGAACCTATCCTGAGGTTTTCTTGGCAATATTTGTTCAGAGGAGGGTTTGCCTTTGCCTACCTCTGAGGCTGAGAGAGTGTGACTTGCCCAAGACCATCCAATGGGTTTTATGGCTGGGTGTGGATTCGAACCCTGGTCTCTAGAGTCTTAGGGCCTTTGCAGACTACCAGAAATAGTGCAAATTGAGTCCACTTTAAGGGTTAGGGTTAGTGCTAGGGAATCATGGGAATTGTTTTTTTTCTGAGACATTGAGCCTCCTCTGTCAGAGAGCTCTGGTGCCACAATAAAATACAGTTCCCATGATTCCCTAACTCTAACCCTAACCCTAAAAGTGGACTCAATTTGCACTATTTCTGGCAGTCTGCAACCCCCCTTAGTCTAACAGCTACACCACTCTGTCTCTTAGCCGTAAGAAATCTATAGGGTTGTTGGGCAGAATCCAGGCAAAGCTAAGCAGGTGTCAAGCAGTGATCTCAGGAAGCGCCATTCAACCAGGAAAGCAAATAAAGTGGGCCCTTGGTATCTGCTGGGGTTTGGTTCCAGCCCCCCGCCCCCCGTGGATAGCAAAAGTCCCATTAAATACAATGGCACAGTACAATGGTATGTATCCCTTATGCAAAATGGCAAAATCAAGGTTTGCTTGTTGGAATGGGTCTATTTTAAAATTATTTTCAAACCATGGATGCTTGAATCAGTGGATTAAAAAAATAAAATAAGTGGATATGGAGAGCTGGCTGTAACATTAATCCAGGCTTTCACATCAGGCAGAGAGAGTTGTATTCCAAGGTTGGGGCTTGAGTTGCTCATCCCATTGCAATTCCCTACTAAAGGAAAACTCTTCTCCTATGAATCTCCCAACATCCACATGGCC